TTTTGCTTCTATATAACTTATATCTATTTTATTTCAGCTTTATTTCAATTACCAAAAAATGGTTTTAGTTTTAGTCTACAATAACAACACTGTTTGTGATGCAGATACAATGCCAGTGAATACTACGAGCGTCTGCCTGAACTGAAGCAGGTGATCGATCAGATCAGTGCTGGATTCTTCAGCCCCAAAGAGCCTGAACTCTTCAAAGACATCGTCAACATGCTCATGAATCATGACAGGTGGGTGTCAAAGAGTTCAAGTTGTCTGTGTGTATGCAACCGGTTTCCCTCCTTTTTAAAAAAAGTTTGCATTTTCTTGTGTGGCTTATACAGATATTTCTAATTTATATATATATATATGTATATATGAGGATACTTGCTATACTTGAGGATACTTGGTTTTAGTTTTAAATTTTACCCTAATATATTGATGTTTATAAAATTCATAGCTGTTTTATGCAACAATTATCAGATTTATTTTCGCTTTAGTAAGAGGTGCCTGACTTCTGTTTTTCTCTCTCAGGTTCAAGGTTTTTGCAGACTATGAAGCATATATCAGCTGTCAAGAAAAAGTTAATGAACTCTACAGGGTGAGTATGGGCTTTTCAGTGGCTGAGCCCAGGGTGTCAGTAGTAATATCTGATAATTGAAAATTATTTAATTATTCCATTAAATGCAAAATTGTTTATTTTTTAATATAAAATTAATGTAATATGCAATAAAAATTTACATTTACAAAAATTATTATCTATATAGATTTAACATTTTCTATTTTTAATTATATATTATAAACTGTAAAATATTTGAGAACAGAAAATGTGTTTGTATCTGACACAAGGGGGCGCTAACACTTGTGTTAATTGTTAGCTGATGGTGATTAATCTCTAAATTACCATTATTTTATTGGCTGATTGATCTACATTACTTAGACTATAAATCAGTCTACCACTACTCAAAATGTATAACTGACCTTGATGAACGGACATGTTGGTAAAACTGCTTGAACAGCTGTTTTCCAATAGCAGCTGTTTTTTTTTTTTTTAAAGCTTTTTTTAAATTCTTTTTTTTAAAAGACTTCATTATGTGTAAAATTCCACGCTCTTTTCTTCAGAATCCAAAAGAATGGACCAAAAAGGTCATCAGAAACATTGCTGCTTCTGGAAAGTTCTCCAGCGACCGCACCATTGCAGAGTACGCACGTGAGATTTGGGGCGTAGAACCGTCTGACGTCAAGATCCCGCCACCTAATGAACCATGTGAATGAGGGTGTGGGCAACATGATGGTTTGACGGTGTCCACTGACTCTGCTTGCCTGTTCCTGAACCTTTCCCAGTGTGCTGGTGTGCCTTTACTGGCTTTACCTGATTCAGATTCAGGTTTCTCACTCTATGCATAACACCATATGTAGCCTCCTTGAACTTCATTACTGTAGTGTACCCACAACATACACAAAAAAACTAACTCTTCCATGTGCACTTACATTGTAGTATGCTTTAAATCCCTGTTACGTTCACATGCACATATTCAATTATCAATTATCATGGTTTCATTATGCAAATTCAATTTGTTGGTCATCCGAGACACATTTATCGAAACTTCCTTTAGTCAGAACTTCAGTTTACAGAGGTATTTATGCATCAGTTGGTGTAAATTCTCAATTTTTGTGCATTCCTTGTTTTACTTTTGAGAGTGGCTGTTGTGACTGATTATAACAGAGATCACGCTTTAAAGGAACACTCCACTATTTTTGAAAATAGGCTCATTTTCCAACTCCTCTAGAGTTAAACAGTTGAGTTTTACCGTTTTCGAATCCATTCAGCCGATCTCTAGGTCTGGCGGTAGCACTTTTAGCTGTAGCTTAGCATAGATCATTGAATCTGATTAGACCGTTAGCATCTTGCTCAAAAAATGAAAATGACCGACGGAAAATGAAAAGTTGTGATTTTCTAGGCCGATATAACTTTTCGTTTTCCGTCGGTCTTAGTACACGATGTAACTACAGAAGAGTCAAGTTTTGAATAGGAAAAATATAGAAACTCTTTGGTCATTTTTGAGCGAAATGCTAACGGTCTAATCAGATTAAATTATCTATGCTAAGCTACAGCTAAAAGTGCTACTGCCAGACCTGGAGATTGGATGAATGGATTCGAAAACGGTAAAACTCAACTGTTTAACTCTAGGGTAGTTGGAAAATGAGCCTATTTTCAAAAATAGTGGAGTGTTCCTTTTAAGGACAACTAATTTCAAGAACACCGTGGGACCGAACAAGAGCCTTTGAGTATTTTATGAAGCCAAATCAGCAACTGAAAACCATTGGAGACTTGACTATCATTCACATCCTGAAATATTTCTTAAATGTATGACAAACTATTTGACCAGCAAACAAGTCTTTTTGCTTTAAAATATGTGATATAACCAGTCAGAAACAACAGCCTTAAATAAAAGTAACATATGCAAAAACAACAGCCATAAAAAAGTAACATATGCAAACAGCATTGATGTAATGCCTCCTGATGTGTGATGTGGTAGTTCAGTGTCCAACTGATCTTTTTATTCAAGCTTTCAGAAGCAGGTTAAAGGGTGCCTTGTGTGCATATACTGTGCAATATTAACAACAATAGGAGAACACATACCTTTTTAAATGCTTCATAAAACAATGAGAATAGAGGATTTATGGCAGCTGGCTGATGTAAACTCATGGGAATCCATCATGTGTGTCCTTTAGTGTTATAGTTGCTTTTTTGTCAGGGTGGAAGCTGATTCAATTCGCTTTACTATTTCACATTGTATTACCAAATCACGAGATGTGTGTCATTGTACCTGTTCATTTTACAAAGCAGCTCGAACTTTGGCAAATGGAAATTCATAAAGCAAACCCTGGCTTGAGTTTCAGCTCTAAACAGCATTTCAGATTGGGGTCTGTCGTTTGAATGTATGCTTATGGATGTGACTTTGAACATTCACACATTGTACAGAGGCCTTGTTTTCTTGCTACCTTTTATACAAGTACTGTATACAATTAATGGTTTTAAAACCATGTTAACAGATAATAAAATGACTAAAGGCAATTCTAATTGGACGTTGGAGCAATAGAATCGGTTCATTGTTTTAAAGATTAAATGCTGTTGTCATGTAACGCAATATTCAAATCATTCGGAATAGAAATGAATGACTTGAACAGGTGCTGGGTGTGGTAAAAGTGTACACATGAATGAGGTATTGCCTAAACCTGATACATAGTAAACAATAAAAGCCTTGTAATTAATGGATATCAGAAAGCAATACATTTCTTTTCCAGTCCTTTATTGTTTACAAACAAACATACTGTACTTACATCTGTGCATGTGTCCAGTAAGGTTTAGCAGCTTAGATGAAAACAAACATTGTAAACCACTCATGATACAGTTTGCAAAAAGTAACAGTTGTTGTTGAAATAACTGGGCAGTATTTTTTCATTATAAAAAATTTAAAAAGTGTTGAATTCAAATATGCAAAATTTGGTCAACATAAACAAAGACGGCAGAATTAAATCCGTGTTCAGAGCAGTAACGTCCAAATATTCTGTGGTCCATTTTTACATTCTAGTACAATGGAATATATAAGTGAGCAGCTTCATATACAGGTGCATCTCAATAAATTAGAATGTCGTGGAATTTGAGTTGAATTACTGAAATAAATGAACTTTTCCACGACATTCTAATTTATTGAGATGCACCTGTATGTATATGTGTATATATATATAAAGTTTTTATTTTTTGGGGGGTCTTACATATGGTTGTCCTTCAGCTTTAGATAATATTATTGCACTTCTGTAGGACCTGGTGATCTTGCTAAAATGATAATTTCTACATAGTTCTTCACAAACAAAGAGATTTTTGTTGTTTTTCTTTCAGTGCATCAGTCAGACACTGGCAGAATAACTTATTAAAATTATTGTGATACAATTTCTTTCTGAGAATAACATCAGCAGAGATGATCATCAGCAGAGAGAGATCTACGATTGAAAATTTTAATAAAAAACAAATACAACCTGACACACAGAGCAACAATACAGCAGATGTTGAGTCTTAAAGGGTCTGTATTACAGTGAAAATAACTTTAAATATGCAGATAAGAATTATCAAATGGTCAGTGCACAGTGAAGAAAATATATTTATCATATTTACATGACAAGATGTTAGCAAATCAAAGATATGTCATTATTGCTCAATGTTTCCTAGAGTCATGGATCTTGGTATCCAAGTCCTTGACTTGAGTATTGCCTCATTTACTTTGTGCACGTTGAAATCCATTACACATATTTTATCAAATTAAAGGACACAATTACATTGCGAGATACACTAAAAGTGAATTTTGGATCAATTAGAATGGGCTTGTTAAAGAAAGTTCTAAATTTTAGGGTCAGTAAGATTCTTTTTTTTTTTCTTTTTTTTTAAAGAAATTAATATTTGTATTCAGCAAGGAGGCATTAAATTGATCAAAAGTGACCGTAAAGACATTTAAAATGTTATAAAACATTTCTATTTAAAATAAATGCTGTTCTTTTGAACTTTCTATTAATCAAAGGAGCCTGAAAATGCATCACGTTTTCCCACAAAAAATATTAAGCAGCACAACTGTTTTCAACATTGACAATAATGAAAAATGTTTTTGAGCACCAAATCAGCATATTAGAACGATTAGGATCATGTGACACTGAAGACTGGAGTAATGACTGCTGAAAATTTTGTTTTGCCATCACAGGAATAAATTACATTTGAAAATATATTAAATATATATTAAAAACTTATTGTAATAATATTTAACAATATTACTGCTTTTACTGTACTTCTGATCAATTATAAAGCAGCCTTGGTGAGCAGAGTCATTCTTTTAGCATTTGTCACATCTTTTAGCATTTTTTTTCGATTTTGGTATTCAACATATTATGGTAATAATTAATTTTATTTTGTTTATTTTTTTTTTGTAATGTGTAAACTGAAAGTACAAAGGCCAAAAAAAGCTATATAACCCACATAACCAAGAAAAGGAAAGGTTTTCTCATACAGTTTTGTTATCTTTTGACTGTGCAACAATCTTTTTCCAGTAACAGGCATGCAAACTAGTATTGATCAACCAAATGCATTAAAATAATGAAACATCTGTGGATTTAGAGAGGGAAAAATTGTCATTTCAAAAGCGCATTCTGTTCTGATTGCAGCCGAGTTGCATTAGTATCAACTAAACACAACAGCACAAGCACAATACATCCCATAAAAATATCACAGTTTTAATGCCAAGGCAGCATAAAATTCTGCAATTTAAATCATTATTTAAATTGGGAGAAAAATAAAGACAGAAAAAAAAAGAAAAGACACATTTATTGTACACAATTAAAGTTCAACCTAAAACAACTCGCTGTTTACATTGAGTGGATTTCAGAATTGAAATAAGGTCCATGATATTGTCGTCAAGTTTGTTATTGTATGTTCATAAAAAAGGAGTGAATCGCAGTCAGCAAGCACTGACAATAACATCATTATAATATGTTGTCCTGCTTCTTCCCATTGACTGTAATCCTTGTGTGGTCTTCGCAGTGCCATCGCTAAAACTTTATCATTATGTCTCTCCTTAGAAGAGGGTTGTTGACTTAAGCATTATTTCAGTGCATATCTGCATATTATTTTGCATACTTTGTGCTCCAGCTGCCCCTTCAGATCTGTTACCATGGCAACAGGAAGCAGCGTAAGAAATCACCCAGCCCTGTCACTCTCCAAATGATAATAACTTTCTCCCTCCGTAGGTTTTAAGTTAACAAAGGAATGCAAAAGAACTGGTGCATCTTCAGTCCATGCTTGTGTGTGCATGCACACATGAAGTACATGGTCCAGATCACGTACATTGTGTATGTGTGTGTAACTGAGAGTGTGTGAGAGAGGGCAGTCGGCTGAAATGATCCTGACTACACGTGAGGATGCGGCGCACTGAGAAAATCACTGAGACACAGCGACAAAGAGAACAACAACACATTAGACTTCTCAAAATCCCCATCTATTAGGTTTTATTTCCAACCAAAGTACGAAACTAATTATTTAAACTCAACCACTGGGTTTCCTGACCAGGGTTTGCAACACTTTTATAGAAAATATAATGTTCAATTAAACTAAATAAAAATATGTATTTAAATCAATATAAATTCTATTAAATGTATATAGTGGCCCTTAAGTATTTTGATGCTTCAATTACACATCTGTGTCACTGTCAATAAAAAAAAGCACACTTATCCAGAAAATGTTTCACAAAAAAAGTTAGTATTATTTCCAATTATAAAACAATTAATATAATGCTCAAAAATAAGATAGCTATATCAAATATATCCAGTAAAAATGACCTTGCAACCAGTTGGTTAAAAGTAATTGAAAAAATAAATGTCTATGCAAGGTAGTTCTGAGAAAAAGTCTTCAAATATTTATTTTGTTATCTAATGCAAATTAATATAATCCACATTTGGACGCATTGTCCAAATGTGTTTTGGTATATACCATATTTATAATTTAACTGAATTTAAATAACAAGTTGTTAGTATTTATTTTAAATTAATTTAAAACTTAAAAATGTGATAAAATTAAAATAAAATACTTTATATATTATTTGACAAATATAAGTCAATAATTAAATTGAATTAATAATTTCATTTATAAAACTAAACATTATTACTTAAAGGGGTCATATGATGCGATTTCAATTTTTCCTTTCTCTTTGGAGTGTTACAAGCTCTTGGTGCGTAAAGAAGATCTGTAAAGTTGCAAAGACTAAAGTCTCAAATCCAAAGAGATATTCTTTATAAAAGTTAAGAGTCAACCACGCCTACCTAAAACGGCTCGTTCTAACACGCCCCCACATGTCTATGTCACGATGTGGGAAGATTTGCATAACACCGCCCAAATGTTCACGCAAAGAAAGAAGGCATAACTTTTATTCTCGCTGTAGTATTGTTGTCGCCATGTCGTGGAGACATTACACCAAATACACAACATAATGTTCTTTTTAGCAACGTCATATGACCCCTTTAAAATCTCAGGTTACTTCATAGAAATAATTTAGATCACAGCAGTTCAGTTGACAAAATGTTTGACCTCTGGTGTTCTTCCTAAAGAAATGTACAGGTTTGCCTCTCTGAAAGATAATTAGCAACAGCCCCATCTCAAATAAAACCATATCTCTGTATTCAGACAGGGTTGTTGGTTCAGTATCAGCACAAACTGGAACATATAGACAGTGACTTTGGTCTGAATTACTATTGCCACAGCTGTTTGTCAGGGACCTGGAGCAGAATGTAAAAACTACACCACCTGGCACAATCCTAAAAATAGCTTGTATTCTCATCCAATTGAATAAAAAGATGAATGTAGCCAAACTGTTTTGTCGGCACGAAGCAGTGGGAAAAAATACAAATAGCAGCAGTTTGTAAAGTGTACACACCTGAGTATATTTGGTAGCTGTGGGCTCTTGTAGATGAACTTGTGTCTGTAGCCCAGAGAGCTGGGGAATGGGATGAACTGAACCTTATGACCGTTCAGACTCTTGCTCTGAGCTGCCAAATCATACAGCTGAGAAAAAAAATTAAGATCTTTAAAAAAACAATTGCATTAGGAGCTATTATGACTATTATTATTATTATTATTATTAATGCATTAGTAGCTATTAATATTATTGTTGTTGAAATACATATTATTATACTTCAAATACACTGTAGTTCTGTTTTATATAGCATAATGAAAGTAATGAAGTGATACCGGTGGTTTATATTGAGATATTTAAGTTTTGCTTCTTTCTGAACAAAACAAATCCAGTTTTAATGTAACTTTTTTCAATATATGATTTTGTTTGATATGTAACAGGTTGTTTAATAATACATATCCTCACACTTATAATGCAAAACTGTGTTACTTAGCCTGACAACAGTGGCAGATAAATGTAAAAAGTGCTTTTAAAAAACTAAAATGATGTGCTTTTACAATAGCTCTGAACATGGCTCATCCAATCAGAATTTAGAGTCTGAAGTATCCGTTTTACAGTTTTAAATGAACCCTCTCATTGTCAGACACTGATGTTTTACCTTCTTTCCAAGCTGGAAGGGTACAACAGCGTCATCTTCTGCATGCAGGATCAGAACCGGACAGGATATGTGGTTGACACTAAGAGACAAACAGACACAATTCAGTAGTTTGAGATACTCAAAAACTCAAAATAAGTACTCCCTTATAGGGATTCAGGACACAGGTCTGTTTTTTATAGTCTGGGACCTTGCGCTGGAGGTTTGTGTAATGAACTACATGATCACCATCTATGACTCAAGAATCAATGCCCACATGCCGCTGAATACTAAAGCGGTTTATTTATACACATGTACATCAAGTCTGTTTCTAAAGCAAGTTCTCAGAGGAAGATGAAGACTCCAGCATGTGAAAACGCTACAGAACAGAGACCTGAGATGATTATCTTAACACAGCTGCAAGGACACTGTGCTATATAAACACGGAACAGTTTTTGTAGATAAACAGAAGAACTTACTTCTCGTCACTGGCAAAACGAATGTCATTTGCAGTTATAGAATCCAGGAAGAACCAGTCAAAGCCTGGTAGATATCTGTAAACCTGTTCAAATTAACATATCAATGTTCAAGGTTAGTTATGTTTATTTGTTGCACAAAGGCAGTATGTGATACCTTGAGATTGAACAGGAAGTTGGTTTCTCACCATAGAGAAGGGATGGCTCTTGGCTTCCTCTCTGATATTGGTAAATGGTGACTCTAAAATTAGGGAGTCTGGGGGCATTCCTGTAAGCACAATGGAAGGAAGTCTGCAACATTCCTTCATGTTTAAAATAGTGCCTCAACTACAGGCTTATGTAACTTAAAGACTTATTAGAAGTGCTTGGCAATTAAATCAGGTCAGTCTTAATCCAGTAAAGTCAGTGCCTATGAAAGCTTGTCTATTTCTGAAACATCAACACAGTCACCGCTTACTTAGAAGAAATTAAATTATATTCCTAATCTCTTTATTTACGGATCTTTAATTCACATTCACTGTTCAGAATATGAGCTAATTATAACATTTAGCAACTAATTTTAAACCAAAATTACAAAGTTAGTTATTTTACACTTAAATTAGAATTTCCCATGACTTATCCAGTTATTTATTGATGATTAAAACTTAAGACTTTTATAATTTAGCATGCTGATTTGGTGCTGAAGATGTTTATTCTTCTTACTATTATTTTTTAATATTTTTTATTAGACGTTTTTTGTAACATTATGTCTTTACTGTCGCTTTGTTCAATTTAATGCATCTTTAATGAATAGAAGTGTTCCTAACATAGCAGTCATTCATGTATTCAAAGGGATTTGTAAATGGCTGCTTGCCATTGAAGGATAAAGCCATTGTTGGAAGTTTCTGCTTGGTTTGTAGTTTCACACTGTTGGCTACTATTTATTTCAGTCGCAACATTCCAAGAAAACACAAATGCATGAATGCATGTTCACATACCCCTGTCACAGAGCCGTCTCACTAGGTTAGTGGCCACTCTGGAAAAACAGGAATGTACAGCATCAGCAGCAGTTCAAAAATGCCACAGGGAGTTACACAATCAATTCCTTTACATCAAAGGAAAGCTAAAATTTTATTCCAAGAACTAGAGAATTTATATCTAGAGAAAAGAACACCATCAACAGTGTTCTTTCAGATGGCTCAGGCGAGTTCATCTCACCCTGTGCCGAGCGAGTGACCCCATATGTACAGGGGCTTCTGGCCAATCCGCTGCTTTATCCACTGGTAGAGGAAGAGAGCGTCTGATGTCATGCCTTTCTCTGAAGGGCTTCCCTCAGAGTCACCCCAACCTGCACGAACAAACAAAACCACATGGTGCTTCACTCTAGGACTGCCGCTGTGAATGGGATTCAGACTTGCATGATAGGATAATGCATTAAAATTGACACTCAACATACCTCTATAATCAAATGTGACTACATGGTAGCCTAATGAACAAAGAACCTGCAGAGACAAGCATATAAAAAAGTGTCCAACATTAACTCAAATTGACAAATGGACAATAAGACAAGCAGTGCTTTCAAATCTTAAATATATACTACCGTTCAAAATTTTGGTATCGCTAAAATTTTTTTTACGTTTTCTTATGCTCACCAAGGCTGCACTTATTTGACAACAAATACAATAAAAAAAGTAATAACGTGAAATATTATTAATATTAAAAATAACAGTTTTCTATTGTAATACATTTAAAAATGTCATTTATTCCTGTGACGGCAAAGCTGAATTTTCAGCAGGATTACTCCAGTCTTCAGTGTCACATGATCCTTCAGAAATCATTCTAATATGCGGAAACATTTCTTATTATTATCCTTTGATTAATCGAAAGTTCAAATTAACAGCATTTATTTGCAATAGAAATCTTTTGTAACATCACTGTCACTTTTTTCAATTTAATGTGTCTTTGCTGAAAAAAAAAAATTGTCTTTAAAAAACATTGAAGGTATAATTCAGAAATACTGGTGGCTAAAAACATTGGAGGTATAATTCAGAAATACTTGCACATTGTTGAGAGCAACCCTAAATTGTAATCCATTTTTTTCAAACCACATCGGGTGGTCTACAAAAGAGTAGGTCTACACCTAATGTGCGTAATCTGCTGGTTGGGGCAGATCTGTCTGTTCCGCAGCCAACACATCATTTGAGTAATATACCTTTTGGTAATTATAAGTGTGGAGGCTGTCAACAATGCAATTTTACATATAAAACACAAACTTTTAATCATCCCTCTACAGGAAAAAGTTTTAAGATCCGAGGAACGATTTCTTGTAAAACAACTACAACAACTAGAAGTCCAGTTGCACAACACTGTCTGAAGTTTACACATTAATAACTTACTTTTAAAACGTGAAGCATATTGGATTTACACTTTGAACACATTATCACCCAACGGTCTTAACAGAGTTTGATAATTGTCCTTTTCTCTAATTATAACATTGATCTATCTGTTTGGATTTATTACACTATATTTGATAGTATATTTTGATTTGGTGTTGGTCTTTTTTTTTTTTTTTGGCAATTAGGTATTTTTTGGTTGATTTTTGTGTTAGATATTGTTTATTGATATATATTTTATTTTATTTTTTGCAGTCAGGTATTTCTTGATATGTATATGGTTAAGTGTTTTCAGTCAATCGTTGTTTTCACTTTTATGCGATATGTTTATTGCCCTTATGTGATGTGTTTGTTGATTGCCCTTGTGTGTATTTTTTATTTATTTTTTGCCATGTGGGTGATTCATGTGATTTAGGTTTGTGCTGTATATAAGTGCTGAGCTGTGTATTTGTTTATTGTCTGATGAAAAGCTTTTAGGTGTGGTGAGAACATATTTTTCTAATTTTGGAGCTGTGGTGTGCCAGCTTTGATCTTCTTTTATGCAACTTTTTGTGGTTGAGCAACTTGAGCACCCACATTGAGCTTTTGGCCTGTTGGATGTGCGCTCTTTGGGTGAAATTCTTAAAAAATATATAAATAAAGAAAAAAATCTTACTGACCCCAAACTTTTGAATGGTAGTGTAAATTCAAAGCAGTTGCTCTTTTTTCTTTTACCTTGTACAGCTGAACTCTGTGATCCCCTCCTCTGAAACAAACACAAAAACACACTTAAGTAAAACGACCAGAGAATTGCATCTGACAAACTGCAAATTTGTCAAAATGTAAATGGTTACAGAAGAAAAACTGGGCTCCATTCACTAACCGGGGATTACACACTACCAGACTTTCAAATCATTCCGAACACAACAGACTCGTACAGAAATACACACCTTGTTGCTACTACACACATAACAGATGAAGACAATACACTTTCTAAAATTGGCTCAAAATATTAAACAGGTTTGATCTCCAGTGACTACATAGAATCATAGTTGGTGCACATCATACATTACATGACTTTTGGTCAAATCCGCAGATCTGATCTTCCAGACTATAAATCAGGGCAAAAGTCATGTAGTTCCATTCCAGCCTTAAAGGGGTCATATGATGCTGCTAAAAAGAACATTATTTTGTGTATTTGGTGTAATGAAATGTGTTTATGCAGTTTAAGGTAAAAAAAAAACACATTATTTTCCACATACTGTACATTATTGTTTCTCCTCTATGCCCCGCCTTTCTGAAACGCGTCGATTTTTACAAAGCTCATCGGTCTGAAAAGCAAGGTGTGCTCTGATTGGCCAGCTATCCAGTGCGTTGTGATTGGCCGAATACCTCAAGCGTGTG